AGATAATATTGTGTATTCTATCACAAGTATTTATTCAGAATCAGAGATATAGAATATGAATTTATGATAAAGATTATTATTATCAGAAAACGAATGAATAATGTATGATTTTGACACTGATAATGTAATTATATGCGGGTTGAAATCTTGATATAATAATAAATCATGTTACAACACGTGGTTAGAAAAGGCTCGGAACCAGAGTTTGCAGTAAAAAGATAATGATGATGATGAAATTGATAATAATGATGATAAAAATAATGGCAATAATGACAAAATCTAATTAATGTATTAACAAAAATAAGATAATGATTATGATGATAATGATAATAGTAATAATAGTAAAAAAATAATGATAATGCTAAGAGAATGAAGAAAATTAAATTAATAATGACAATGAATAATGATAATGATAATAGTGATAGATAGACACTCAGTACTTATTCACAAACACACACATACGCGCGCGCGTACATACAGGTGCATAAAACTAAAACCATTTTATAATTTTACTGACAAAAAAAAAAAAAAAGTGGCTTTGTGTGCTTGTCAACAGAAAATGATACTAGTGATAAGTGGCGTGAGTGTGGAAAAAGTCACATAGCCATACGCACACATACATACACATATACACATACTACACGAAAATAACACATGAAAAGGAAAATTTAATTTATTCCTAATAAATACTGAGGAGAACAAGATATACATCGTATCTGTATCATTATGCTTATTTTTTTTTTCTTTTACACAAATGTGATTTCTCTCTTTCTCTCTCTTGCTCTCCTCTCTCTCTCTCTCTCTCTTCTCTCTTCTTCTCTCTCTCTCTCTCTCTCTCTCTCTCTCTCTCTCTCTCTCTCTCTCTCTCTCAACTCACACACACACACACACACCACTCTTCTCACTTTCCTTATTTTTTTTTGGCTTAAAACACTTTTTTTTACGCCTTTTTTTCATGCCAATAAAAGATGCGGTCCTTCCCATTCAACATTAATGCCTTCATATGATCAAGAAACGCTTTGTTACTTGCAATAAAAAGTTAGAGTCGACAAAAATTTTATCAAAGGAGGAGAAGGAGGAGGAAAAGATTAGAAGTGAGAATGGGAATAACAAGAAATGGAGAATAATTAGAGATAGTCTAAAAGAAGAAGCAGACCAGAGAAAAGTGAAAAGGACACATACGCACACACATACGTATATATGTGTATACATGTATATTAATATATATATCTATATAGTATATATAATTATATCTAATTATCTGTCTATCTATCTATCTCTCTCTCTTCTCCTCTCCTCTCTCTCTCTCTCTCTCGGACTCTCTCTCTCTCTCTCTCTCTCTCTCTCTCTCTCTCTCTCTCTCTCTCTCTCTCTCTCTCCTTATATATATGAAGGTATTATTTAATATAGATATATAAAATATATATAGGGATATATAAACTACGATATACATATTAATATACTGAATGATATAGGATATAGTATATATTATACTTATAGTAATATATATACTAGGGTAATATATATATTATGTGTGTGTGTGTGTGTGTGTGTGTCAATGTAATAAGATGTGTACGATTTGTGATTATGTGCTGTGTGTGTGTGGGTGTGAAATGTTGTGTGTTGGGCGGAGGACGATAATGTGTGTGTGTGTGGAACTTGTAGAAGTGTGAGTGTGGCAACGGACCAGTCTGATGTGGTGTTTGATTTGTGAGTGTGTGTGTACTAAGAGAAGAGAGTGCGATAGATTGACGGGATTGTAATTGGAAAGACTCTTGTGTGTGTGTGTGTGATAATGATGGGGGCTGAAGGATGTTAATAATGATAATTGTACTTACGTACGTGCCACATATTATAAATGAAGGGATGATTAACCAACAAAGCGAACAAAGCAGCATAGAAGAATATACGGACAGCGCGATTGAAGCCACATAAACCGATGCGCGGCTGGAAAACATGGATCCAAAATGGGGAATATTCTATGGATAAAACATATCTGTGACTTCTGTTACATGTGTTACTCATTCACTGGGACTTCAGAAAGCACTCCACGAAGCCATGATAAATTTGTACGAGGAGGATAGAATATGCAACAACTGTGGATTGCATGATATTTGTTATGCGGATAGGCCACAGGGGCTATTTGTAGCCGCTGATATATCAGTTACGAGCGTCTTTAGTATCGCAGATTGCATTAAATCGGCTGTGTGTATCAACATCGTGCGTATGTGATGTCTCAGTGAGAGAGAGAGAGAGAGAGAGACAGACATGATGAGAGAGAGAGACGGAGGAAGGAGGAAGAGACGATGATGGAGATGAGAGGGGGGTAGAGAGAGGATGAGAGGAGGGGAAGAGAGGGAGGTAGAAGGAGGAGAGAAAGAGGTAGGAGAGAGATAGGAGAAAAGGGGAGGGAGAGACAGGAGAGGGAATTAAGAGAGGAGATTTTATTCACCTTTTCTAATAGCAAACAACACAAGTATCCCCCCATCCCATAACTCATCACCAATGACACACATCCCAGGTCTCTAACGCAACACACAACTCCAGCTCTTTCTAAAAGAAAACAAAAGTAACGTATTCTTCTACCTTCTACGAATTCTATTAGGATTTATCCATTTTCTCGCCCATAATTTTCGGAAGTACGACGCTCGAGACGAACGAACGGCGCACCAGGCGAACGACGCGACACGCCCCTGAACCGGCCGAGATTCCGGAATATTTACCGAGACTCACGAGAGCAGAGACCCGACCAAGATGAACGTCAGGAGGTGCATTCGGGGACTTCGGATAAATTTCAAGAAACTTCCGGCGGAGGGAGTGGGTGTTCGGTCCTTAGCGTACCGGGGCTCTGGACAGCGTTCAGGTAGCATGCTCACTATGACCGCGAGGTTTGAAGTTCCTGATTCAGTGAGGACCGCCCGAGAGACTGAGGAAGAGCGCGAGACGATCCGTTATGAGACGAGAGGTGAGAACGCCGGAGTAGAATGTACACAGAATGAAACAGACGCAGAAACACAGCCAAAAGAGGCGATAGATGAGTAGCAGGATGATGGAGCCTTTGGCGCAAACGAGTAAGATCGGACGCAAAGAAACAGGAAGTATCGATCAAAAAACAGAGACAGGCACATGGAGTCATGATTGAGAAAGTTATGAGCAAGTAGGCACTCACGAACCACACACACACACACACATCACAGACACAGACCACACCGACACACACAGCGACACACAGCAACACAATAGGTAATATATATATTAATATAGCAATAGATGAACTTAAATTATACTTGAATTTGAGGGAGAGGGAGGTAGAGATGAAGAGAATGAGAGAGAGCACGAGAGGAGGAGAGGAGGGAGAGTGAGAGAGATAGGAAGGGAGAGAGAGGCAGGGTGAGGAGATTAGAGAGAAATGATAGAATTGTGAGGAATGCGTGTTGGCTGTGTATGTCATAATTCTACACGTGCATCTATATCATGCATTTCCCTTATCGTACTGTGTTTGATGCGATAATAAGTAGGAGGACGATGGAAGAATGCGAGCGGAGGAAAGAAGAGTTTACGTTGCAATCAGTTAAAAAAAGAACTGGGGAATATCAAAAAAAATGGACACCGAGAGATGAAATGGATAGGAATAGCAAAGACAAGAATGTTTATTTGGAAGAAAAATCACTTCAAGACGACATACGCGATAGAAACGATGACTTTAAACACTTAATCCCGAATGAAAAAAAAAAAATAATTCATTTTCACACTCAACACACGACCGTCACACATAAACTCGTATACTCGATCTGCTCTCTCGTAGCTCTCTCTCTCTCGTCTGGTGCTCTGCTATCACCGGAACACGAACGACAACACGACCACCACACCAGCACACAGACAACACACACACGAGACACCACAAGAAATGAGAGATAGATAAGAGAGAGACAGAGTGAAGAGAGAGATAGATTCATAGATATAGTGAGAGAGATAATGAATGAGATGAATGTGATTAAGAATGAGATATAGACGAGAGAGATAAGAGTAAAGTAGAAGAGAGATGAGATGTATAGAAAGATAGAGAATAAGAGTAGAATTATATAATATAGCTACTAATAGTAGTTATATTGACTATATGATATATATACTATACTGAATATATATGAGAATGAGATGGAGAGAATATAATAAGATGAGCAGTAAGAAAGATATATATATAGAGGAATATAATAGAGATTGAGGAAAGAGGAACAGGAGTACAGGAGAGAGACAGAGAGAGAGAGAGAGAGTAATATTATAGTTGAGAGAGAGAAGATACGATATATAATGTAGAGATATGTAATAGAGATAATAAAGAGAAAGAGTATAGAAGAGAAAGAGAAGAGAGAACGAAGAGAAAACAGAGAGTGAAAGTAGACGCTAACATTCGTACCTATGCCACCCTCTCTCTGGCTTCAAACGTATTCTCTCCATCGCAATCACAAATAATCACATCAGTCATCCATATCACACTCTATTAATCACATATGAATCGATCATACACCAGCGTCAAGAGATACATCGCTCAGAACAAATATATGACCGAGACACTGAAACAACACTTGGTACCACACTGTGCAGTGAGCCAAGAAGTCTGGAAATTATGCTTCCTCTCCCACGAGTGCTTCGATTATCCAACGGCTGCGACGACTGTCACTAAGACACACAAGGATACATAAAAAAAAAATTAAGTGAACTAGCTATCGATACGTTCCTTCTCAGCCAATAGTATCCAGTTCTTCTGTATAGCCGACCCAACCATAATACGACGGACGCAAGATAAAAGAGCCAGCAAGAGAATTCACCTCTCTCATCTAAGACTTCCTATCAGCTATCATCGTGACCAACATCATCAGCCACTTCGCTCGGACAGAATTCCATCCCTATTCTCATACACGTCTCACTCTGTGCGCTTCCCCGGTGCGCGGCCCGAACTCACCTCAACCATTGAACCAATATTGCCTCTCTCCGCTATCACC